TCTTTCCCTCCTGCTTTCTCTGGCGCATGCTCTGCTCTAGTGCTCCCTCCGCCCCCACCATGTGCCATGGACCATGCCTTACTGTTCCCACTATTTGCCTCCATTTTCTTCTTTTCTTTGAAGTTTATTGATTTTTTTCTGAGGGGTGAGGCACACTCTCAGCAGGGTCTTCACGTTGTAATCCCGCCCCTAGTCTTGGCAGTCAGGATCATGGGCACATGTGTGTGCAGCTGGTGTGTACAGGGACACCTCAGGGCGCCACTCCATGGTCTTCCCATGTGGGGAAGCATTGGGGAGTGTCGTGTAACTGCAGCACCACGCCTGGCCTCTTGCCTCTGTTTCTGTGGCATTTCTTAACTGACTGAACTTGTAAGTATAAACTTGAAAGATGATACTCACAGCTCATCTTTTATTTAACCCTAACAAACGATGCTCCATTAAAAATGTTACTTTAAGAAATATTACTGGGAACCAGCAGTTAGCATAATGGCTATGTCGCTGGACTCCCACGTAGTCGACCGCGGTTCGTGTCCCGGACCCGGTGGCTTAAAACTCACGCCGGGCGCGTGTGCGTGCGTGCCCAAGATCCCGAGAGGAGAATGGAGGAGAAGGGATTGCGACGTGACCATCCCCCCAGGGGGGTGATTTCTCGCTTTCTGTCTCTATGTCTCTGTCTGGCGAGCGCACACGCCCTATAGTGAAAACTTCTCAAAAAAAAATATTACTTATAAAAAGCTGTTCTGATAGTTCTTTTTAAAGAGAGATTTTTTGCTCTAGTGTGCATATGCTCAGTGGAGAGACAGAGAGAAACAGAGAGACAGAAAGTGTGCAATCATTCCCCCTGGTGGCTTGAAAATCACACCAGGCACATGTGCATATGCATACAAAATCCCAAGAGGAGAATGGAGGAGAAGGGCGTGGTTATTCCCCTAAGGGGTGATTTCTCACTTTCCCCTTTTTCTTTCCCTGGTGAGCACATGTGCCCTATAACAAAACAAAACAAAAAAACTAAACATGATTTTAGGAATAGGCAACCTCAGGTAGCCCTTGGTTTATAAGATAAAAGTGTTTATTAGATGTAGGACAACCCCAAGGAGGGTAGACTTTGTCAAGTTCCAGGTAGTTTGTGCAGAACGACTTTTGAGATTGCGTTTCTTTTTTTTTTTTTTGGAGAGGTTTTTTGCTATAGGGCGCATGCGCTCGCCAGACAGACAGAGAGAGACAGAGAGACAGAAGGCGAGAAATCACCCCCCCGGGAGGGTGGCCATGCCGCAATCCCTTCTCCTCCATTCTCCTCTCGGGATCTTGAGCACGCACGCACACGTGCCTGGCATGAGTTTAAACCACCGGGTCTGGGACTCGAACCACGGTCGACTACGTGGGAGTCCAGCGATATAGCCATTACACTAACTACTGGTCCTGAGACTGTGTTTCATCACAAGAAAACAAAGGGCCTTGACCATCGTTCCTAGTCACAGATCATGTGGAACCTGAATTGACACCGACAGGAATGGTGAAACTTGGAAGCAGCGTCAAGCTTCCCATACAGACTCCTTTTTTCTGTCTTCCTTTGTCAATCTGCCATGTCTTGTCTTTGTTCAGATGGGCTATGATGTATATTATCTATGTAGAAGTATCGTGTGATTACAGTGAGGAAGATTTACAAAGGACAGACTCTCCTGCAATGATCTGTATTTTAAAGGGACCTTTACTTACTTTGACATTCCAAAAATCATTTTTAATCTTTGTTTTGGCAATTGAATTTGGGATATATCCAAGATGGCTTGTATGTCGCTAGCTGCTGCGTATAAGGGGATTGCTCTTATGGTAGCAGGAAGTGAAATAGTTTATACGTTATTGCTAAAATTTTTACTATTTATTAATTTACTTTTAATGATTATTTCCAGAGAGTGTGTGTGCTTGCCAGAAAGAGGAAAGAGAGGGTGGGAGAGAGAGAAAGCACTCCCCATTCTCCTTCCGGTCAGGATTTTGAGCACACATGCACAGTGCCCACTGTGTTTCCCAAGGGGCCAGGAACCAGGACTCAAACTATGGTCAGCCATGAGGGATTTAGCTCCTTTAGCCACCGTGCTATAGCATTGGTCCTTAGATTTTACTTCAACATACTGTGCCCAATAAGTTTTTAAAAAAATTTTTTTTGAGAGGTTTTTGCTATAAGGTGTGTGCGCTTGCCAGAAAGACAGAGAGAGAGACAGAGAGAGACAGAGAGACAGAAAGTGAGAAATCGCCCCCCGGGGGAGTGGTGGCCACACCGCAATCCCTTCTCCTCCATTCTCCTCTAGGGATCTTGGGCATGCACGTACACGCGCCCGATGAGAGTTTAAACCGCCGGGTCTGGGAATGAGATTTAAACCCGCCGGGTCTGGGACTCGAACCGTGATTGACTACATGGGAGTCCAGCAACACAGCCATTATGCTAACTGCTGGTCCCTGTGCCCAATATGTTTTATAATTCATCACTTTCATGACACTTTGACACTTGGAATAATGATGCCCAAATTCATGAAGTAGTAACAAACTGCCTGAAAAAAGGAACTGACTTTAAAAAGCAAGTATGAGGGACCAGCAGTTGGAGTAATGGCTATGTCGCTGGACTCCCATGTAGTCGACCATGGTTCGTGTCCCGGTGGCTTAAAACACTCCGGGCGCGTGTGCGTGCGTGCCCAAGATCCTGAGAGGAGAATGGAGGAGAAGGGATTGCGGTGTGGCCATCCCCCCTGGGGGGTGATTTCTCGCTTTCTGTCTCTCTGTCTCTGTCTGTCTGGTGATTGCACGCACCCTATAGCAAAAACCTCTCCAAAAAAAAAAAGCAAGTATGAAACGAAGAATAGAGGATCCTATGGATTTATTTGAACTCCCTAAGGAATTTTAAGGACAAGATAGAATAGGAAAAATGTTGGAGTTGAGAGGAAAGGGAGACTAGAAAAAGAAAAAAGGAGAGGATCCCGTTTCCTAGCTTGAGGGCTTACACAGGATGGCCACGAGGTGGCAGCACAGTCTTAACAGCAGGAAAAGTTCTGTCTGGCCACCCTGTTTGTTATGCCATAGATTTTTCTCTGAGGGTTCCGCCATGTTGATTTCCCCCATTATCCTAGGGAAACAGAAGCAAATGTTTAGAACTAAAGATGCCTCCTAAAATATAAGCTGAGGAAAAGTGCAGGGCGAAGGCACCATCTTTACTTCCAGAGACTTGTCCTCTGAAGAAGGCTATAGACCCTCTGTGGGAAAGGACCAATTTAAGTTTCTAAACCATCATACATTTATACTTTTGTAAAATTCATAAAAGTACATAACAAAAAATACATAACAAAGGATAAGTCAGCCCACTTCCTATACTTAGTTCAGCTAATTATAGAACTATGTCTATGTATCAATAGACATTAAATTTTCAAGTTACATTTAATATGGGGGTCAGCAGGTGGTATAGTGGTTAAGGTGCTGGACTCCCACATGGTTGACCATGGTTTGAGTCCTGGACCCGGTGGCTTGAAACTCACACTAGGCACATGTGCGTGCGTGCCCAAAATCCGGAGAAGAGAAGGGATTGTAGTGTGGCCATTCCCCCGAGTGGTGATTTCTTACATTCTTTCTCTCTGACAAGTGCACATGCCCTATAGCAAAAATCTCTCTCAAACAAAATTAAATTTAATATGAACAAACACTGGTCTGTTTTTGTCTTTATTGACTTTGCTGTTGGTGTTATATTCAACAACTCATTACGAAGGTCAATGTTATAAAGCTTATTCATTATGTTTTCTTCTACAAG